ATCATACAATATTGCTAATACTTCAAGTTTCAGGATGCATTTAGAGTAAGGGTTATTGTTAATTTTAAGAGTAGCCAGGCAGATTCATTTTCATTTTTGTTGTTTGTTTTTGCCAGTCCTGGGGCTTGAACTCAAAGCCTGGGCACTGTCTCTGAGCTTCCTTTTTTGCTCAAGGCTAGCACTTTACCACTTGAGCCACAGCACCACTTCTGGCTTTTTCTGTTTATGTGGAACCCAGGGCTCCATGCATGCTTGGCAAAGTACTCTACCACCAAGCCACATTCCCAGCCTCAGATTAATTTTCATATAGTCTTTTTTATTTCTTTTTGTGGCAGTACTGGGGCTTGAACTAAGCACCTTGTGCTCTTGCTTGGCTTTTTTGCTCATGGCAAGCCAGATTTCTACTCCTGGTTTTTTGTTTGTTAATTGGTGATAAGAATCTCAGAGGGGTCAGGCACTGGTGGCTCACTCCTGTAATCCTAGTGTGAAGCCTGAACAATATATAGCAATTTTAGGTTTGGATTCCATTTTATCCAGGAAAGGTGTCTGCAACTCCCCTTGATCCTCTTGGGCACAAATTCCAGGAACAACCAACCCTCTTTATGGTAAATTCCACTAACTATAGCTAATCAGCTGGTGACAGTTAAAACCCAAAGTTCCAGATGTTCCTGGATGTTGAAGACCACTCTGTGCGGCTCAGACCATCTGCGTTAGCCAATCATTTTGAAAAGCATCAACCCCATGAACCTGCCAATCCCCAGTACCTGTTTGGTTCCCACCACTGGTAGCGCTCATCCTCTTTTATTTTATGATTTTCCCGTGGTACGATATGATTTGTTAAGTGTTGCAATGACCATAGAAGTCCCTAAAAACCCTATGAAAACCCTGCTAGAGGAAGGGTGAGGGTTCTCACCTCTGATCCACTGCGTTGGGGACGGTTGTGAGTCCAGGCTGGATCTTGCAATAAACGACTCTCATGTACTTGTATTGGAATCGGCTCCTTGGTGGTCTTTGGGGATCCTTATCTGGGCACAATACCTATTCAGGAGGCTGAGATCTGAGGATCTGGGTTCAAAACCAACCTGGGTAGGAAAGTCCATGAGACGCTTATCTCCAGTTAACCACCAGAAAACTGGAAGTGGCCCAGTGGATCAAGTGGTAGAGCACTAGCCTTGAGCTGAAGAGCTGAGGGACAGTGCCCAGATCCAGAATTCAGGCCCAAGACCACCACCAACAAAAAGAATCTCAGAAGGTTGGGAATGTGGCTTAGTGGTAGAATGCTTGCCTAGCATGTGTAAGGTCTGCCCCTGGCCATGCAGGCCCTGTGTACACACCTCCCTACTTCTTGTCTAAATTTCTATAACTGTATCTGTGTTACCTAGGTAACTGGCATACCTGGAAACTGTCACCTTCCCCTCCTGCTAGGTCACATCTTAGACCACCTCTAGCCATACCTCCCAGCTGAGAGTAGGAGGGTCCCAGGCTCTGAGGTCACATCTAGATCCAATGTGCCCACACTTTTCCCCCACCTGGGCACACCTCTTCATTTCAGTGGCCTAGAAAAGTCCTGTCTGGTTGTGGGTACTCTACTCCCTTTTCAGCCTAGCCTCTACATGTTGGGGGTTATGGCAGCAGTTGGGTAAATACACTTCTTTTCCCGTCTGAATACCACATGGTGCTCTCTACCTAATGAAACTTACCTATTTAATATACCTTACAGTATGCATGAAGCCCTGGGTTCCATCCCTCAGAAGCATAAAGAGAAAACCCAGAAGTGGTATTGTGGCTCAAGTGGTAGAGTGCTAGCCTTGAGCTGAAGAGCTGAGGGACAGCGCCCAGGCCCAGAGTTCAAGCCCTAGGACTGGTAAATAAATAAATCAATCTCAGCAACCTGCCCAGGCTGGCTTCAAACTGTCTGTCATCTTCACATCTCATCCTCCAGGGTAGCTAGCAGAACAGGCATGAGCCTGCAGTGCCACGTAAGAATGAAATCTTTTAAAAGTGAAGTAGGCCCTGAGAGGAGACTTGAGCTGGCACAGCTTCTTTCCAGGCTTTGCCTTGGTTTTAGGGATTTTTAGAAAAAAATCCTTTAAACAAGGTTAACTAGACCTTGGCTCCAACCAGCCCAGTTCCTGGAATGGAAAGAATGCGTCTAGGTCCCCCTCCCCTTAACAACCTAACCCACCTTGATTGTTCTGTTAAGGACTGACTCATAAAACAGTTAGGTTGTAATCTGGCTCATACTGACAACCTGGGGAGCTTATCATAAACTCCGACTTTTGTGGGGGCTTTTGGTAAACTCTACTAAACTCCTCCTTTGTGTATGCTTTCTGTTAGCTCCGCCTTACCGGTTGAATTTGTGAGTCATTCAAACCAAAAGTAATAGGCTGGTTTAAACAGCCATTATGTGACGAACTGAAACCTCATTGGCCACCTGCGTGTGGTCTAGTAAGACTGGGCAATCTTTTGTGTGTGTGACAATCTCATTGGTCACCTGTGCGTGACCAAGCTTGGCCTCGTGAATTTTGCCTTTAAAAACCAAAGTATGTGGGCCACTTGGGGTCACAGTATCAGCTCCTGAACCTGTGCTGTGGCCCTGGCCGGTCAGTGTAGGAACCTTCTCAATAAAGTTGCTTCTTTGTTAACAATTTTGTTGTGGTGGGCTGTCACTCTGGAGGACTAGGTGGGCTTGCCTGCCTGAGTAGGGGTCTTCCTACTACAAAAAGTACTCAGCCATTGTCTGTAGGTGATATTCGTTCCCAGGAGACAGCAGTCCTCTTTAACTGAGTTGAGTGGAGTGAGTGTCCTGTGGCCTTGGTGTTTTCAGCTCTTCTCTTGCTGTCTTTCATACACACTTGACGGAGAGAAATGTTACTTATTTTCTTTTTTTTTTTGTCAGTGATGGGGCCTGAACTCTGGGCCTGGGCACTGTCCCTCAGCTCTTCAGCTCAAGGCTAGTGCTCTACCACTTGAGCCATAGCACCCCTTCTGGCTTTTTCTGCTTCTGTGGTGCTAAGGAATAGAACCCAGGGCCTTATGCATGTGAGGCAAGCACTCTACCACTAAGCCACCTTCCCAGCCTCTAATTTCTTCTTATACTACTTATTCATCATCTCATATAGACCACTTTGAAGAGGAATAATTTATATTGAAAACTAACCAAAAATATTGTAGTTTAAGGTGTATATGGAAACATAACCAGAGTTGCTGCTACAGCAACACAGACCAGTAAAATAAAAATAAAAAAAATCAAGACCACTTTCTTGGAAGGATAAACAAGTTTATTGCCAGTGACCCAAACCGGGCTAGTGCCATCAAAAAGTTCAGCTCCAGAGAGAGGGAAGACTGAGTTGATATACAAACTGGTTCCTTGCTGTGTGTGTGAGGTGGTGGTGTGGGGGGGAGGGCGGCAGGCTTTGAACTCTGGGCTGGGGCACTGTCCCTGCACTCTTCAGCTTAAGGTGAGCACTCTACCTCTTGAGCCGCAGGGCCACTTTCTGTTTTCTAGTGGTTTATTGGAGATCAGAGTCTCACGGACTTTTCTGCCCAAGCTGCCTTTGAACCGAGATCCTCAGATCTCAGCCTCCTGAGTAGCTAGGATTACAGGCGTGAGCCACCTGCGCCCAGCTTCAAACTGTTTCCTCACAAAATCCCATATTATCAGACATACAAAGTCAAGGAGGCTGACATCAACTTCCGTCCAAGTGGGCAATTCCTTTCTAGTTGCGCACAAATCAGGACATCCTGTTACTGCTCCGTTTGTATTGTTACTAGAAAATTCCTTGAGAGCTTCCAGTTATTGGTTCAGAGAGGCCCACTTGTCTGCCCGGATCCAAATTCCAATACATTCCCCAGGCCCTATTCTGACAGCTGGTGGGGCTACCTGGAAAGTTCTTCCTCCTAGAAGGGTAAGTTTGTCTACTTCGTTGTTAGCCAAGAATACTTACAGTGGCTAGCTTTGTGAGGTGTAGCAAGTGATTTTATTCATCTGTATATTTCCTATGTTTCACAAACATTCCATAGTCAGCATGATTTATTCCTAGTGTAAGACAAAAGTCCTATTTGTGGGGGGTGAAGGACCTGGACTTCAGACACCTCCCCCCGCCCCCCAGAGACCACCAGAGACCAAGACCAATGTAAAGGCAAAAGAGTCATTTATTACAAGCTTGAGCTCCGTCCTCCTCCTTGCACTGGGTAACTTCGGTAACCAGTGACCTAAGAGGCCCAGAGCCCAGGGTTATAGCACTTTTTATACATTTTTTAGGGAAGGCAGGGACTTTGCATACATCATAGCATCTTATAACAAATTACTTTACACATCGCGGGAAAATCATAACACAATTTTATAGTATGATTGGTATACTACGAAGCAGGAAAGGACGAGAAACAGGTTGTTGGTTAGATCAAAGGGCTGACATACTTTAAACTGGTTGGCTCGCACCACAGGGGAGTCTCAAGGAGATACATGCTGATCTGCAGGGTTCCTTTCTCAAACATCACCAGTGGCCTGACTGCTGGGTCACCACGCCCTCCAGCACCTGCCTGCAGTTTTCCCAAGGACTGTTCCTGGTTGCCTGGGAACTGCTTCTTCTGTTCATGCCCAGGCCGGGCTCATGGTCGGCTGCATAACTCATACCTAAGAAGATGATCGCTAGCTCAAGATGGAGTCACCCAGGCCTCAGGCTCCTCAGAGGGATTTCATTCATCTTGTAAAAAAAAATTTACATGTTCCAAAAACAATGTGTTTCATTATGACATTTCACACATGTGTACAATTTATTTTGATCATATTCTCTTCACTTCCCAATCACTCTCTTGTCCCCCATCCATGATTTTTTGGTTTGTTAAAGTTTCCTTTGACTCCAGTCATAAGGAAACAAGGATGTGGGGGCAGACGGGCAGAGGCCGATCTAAGGATTTTCTTCCTCTTTTGTGTGTGTGTGAGTGATAGTGGGCTTGAATTTAGGATATTGTGTTCTCACGTCCCTTTTTTATTCAAGGCTAACTTGAGCTACAGATCTACTTCTGGAATTTTGATGATGAGCTTGAGGTGAGAGTCTTGAAGAGTTTTCTGCTCCTCCTGGCTTAGAACCATGGTCTTCTGAGCTACCAGTGCCCAGTGAGACAAGGTTTTACTTCACAGCAATGGCCTTGTCAGGCAGAAGAAGCTGCTGGCTCTCCCTCCAAGTCTTACTGCTGAGAGTTTTTCTCTTCGTGGGTGAGTAGCAGAGCAGGCATGGCTGCCCTGGGAGTGATTTGGGCAGAGGCTGAGGAGTTGGCTGTGGGGTGGAGGGCAGAAAGCTGGGGTTGAGCTCAGAGTGTCTCAGGACTGCAATCCTAAGGGCATTGTTTGGCTCTCTGGTGTCTTTTATGTGTCTGTCTGGCCTATACTTTCCACCAGCCTGCTTCCTCCATTTGGTGATCAGTATTGTATGCTCACATAAGTAGACACAGCTCACAGCTGTATTTAATGATGGCAGGGGTGTGATGTGTGTTAAGGATGCTGCTTCAGGTGAACCAAACTTGGACTTGTCTTGCCTGCCAGCCTTCTTATAATTGAAAAGGGCTGAGCTCTTCAGTCAGACTTACTGTCTTGCCACATTTTGATTATGCACCCTGGGCCTTTGTATGCCCTGGGACCAGTAGATATACCTTTTCAGAGCCTGTTTCCACAGCTGTAAACCAATTCCTTGTTCAACCAGCAGAGAAGGGGGAAAGCCGATCACACCTAGCTCAAGGGGATATTTAGGAGGTTCAGGAAACACACTCTGAGGAGGTGAGGCTGAGGAGTGGAGGGACCAGGAGCACTTATGTACATAGGTTATTCTTTCCTATTTATTGAAAATCAGCTTAGATAAAAGAACTATAGACTGGGGCCTAGAGTTTCACAGACTTTCCTGCCCAGGCTGGCTTTGAACCATGATCCTCAGATCTCAGTGTCCTCAGATCTCAGTCTCCTGACTAGCTAAGATTACAGGCCTGAGCTACAGTGCCCAGCATAAAATCTGTTATTGTCAACACATTTCAGGCTGTGAAGCAGATTCAGGAACTACTGAGTTTATGAAGAACACATTTACAAACCCCAAACTCTTAGAATTCTACATGTTGGAATGGCTACTCTCCAATAATGGTGAGGGGCCGAGAAAAGGGATTTACTAGGAGGCAGCCCAGCGAAGACAGCAAGCACTTCAGTGCATCATCAGCTGTCTTTGGAGTACTGACATGAGCTATAGGTTTAAATAAATGGAGAACTGGAGCAGAAGGAAAGAGATGGGCGTGATCATCAAGCATTCTCACTGACTCATGGCTGAGGACCATTAAGTAAGTCTTTGTTCCCTGAGGTTCAGATAGGTTACCCCTTTATCACTTAAACAAGCCACTGTTGCCTGTCAGACTACCTGACCTATCAGGCAGCTGCTGCCTGTAAGGTGTCAGGTGGTTTGTCTGGAGTTTTGGGCTCTTCTCTTCCTTTAGAGCAGTCTTATCTCTTGTTGAAGATGACTAGGAAAGGCTCTGCTTGTTTGAGGGGCAGTAGGGCTTTTTCATCCATGCTTATCTATAAAACTGAGGCTGGGAAGGTGGCTCAGTGTCTGAGAGCTTGCTTCCCATGCATGCAGCCCCGGCTCCATTCCTCAGCACCACATGCGCAGATAAAGCTGGAAGTGGCACTGTGACTCAAGTGGTAGAGCACTAGCCTTGAACCAAAGAAGCTCAGAGACAGTGCACAGGTTCTGATTTCAAGACCCAGGACTGGCCAAAATAAATAAATAAATAAACCAACATCTTGTGCTTTCTGGAACTCAAAGTGACTGAAGTGCCCGAAAGAGAGAATGATTCATACTGAAGGACACAGATGCAAATGGAAGCTGGGTGCCTATTTTTGAATCGTACTTTTTTATTTTTAATTTTTATTTATTTATTTATTCATTTAGGTCCTGGGGCTTGAACTCTGGGCCTGGGCACTGCCCCTCAGGTCGTCAGCTCAAGTCAAACACTCTACCAATTGAACCACAGCGCCACTTCTGTTTTCTGGTGGTTTATTGGAGATAAGAGTCTCATTGACTTTCCTGTCTGCGCTAGCTTTGAACCATGGTTCTCAGATCTCAGCCTCCTGAGTAGCTAGGATTACAGGCCTGAGCCACCCGTGCCTGACTTTATTTTTATTTTGTTTTATTTTATATTTTTGTGCTGGTGTTAGGGCTTGAACTCTAGGCCTGCTTGGGCATTATCCTTTAGCTTGTTGTGTTCAAAGTAGGCACTCTATCTCTTGAGCCAAACCTCCAGCTTTTTGGTGATTAATGAAGGTGAGAATCTCCTTGGCTTTCCTGGTTTTGAATCTTCCTGCTTTTAATTAATCCTTGGACCAAGTAAATAGTGTTTCTCAGCATGGGCTGGCATTTTGTCAGTAACTTGATACTTGGTGGGGAGACTGAGTTTAAAGATGATGGGGTAAAGTCGGGCCACAGTGGCTCAAGCCTGTAATCCTAGCTACTCAGGAGGCTGAGATCGGAGGATCTCGGTTCAAAGCCAGCCCGGTCAGGAAAGTCTGTGAAACTTATCTCCAATAAACCACCAGAAAACTGAAAGTGGCGCAGTAGCTCAAGAGGTAGTGCACTAGCCTTGAGTTGAAGAGCTGAGGGATAGCGCTCAGGCCCAGAGTTCAAGACCCACAAAGGACCAAAAAAAAAAAGATGATGGGGTAATTCATCGGATGCAGAAAAATTTAAGACAGAATTCAAATAGTATGATTGGCTCATGGTCACATGACCAAATCTAACCAAACTCCTGTGGCCTATTCACTGCTGTTGGAACTAAAGTTACCTGTCTAACACCAAATTCTTGTTTCATGCCTTCCCTCAACCCACACTTGCTCCTCTCTTTGAACTGTGATCCTCAGATCATAGCCTCCTGAATTGCTAGATTACAGTGTGAGCCATGGCACCTGGCTTTCTGAGATTTTTTAGACCAAGGGTCATGTTTGGTGCCTGCCCCAAGAAGAAGAACAGGACTCTACGACTGTGGTAAATATGAGCAGGGTCAAAGTTGCTACATTGTAGGCAAGACGAATACCTCTGCATCTTTGTTTCCACAGCCATGAACTAGAGATGATTTTCTCTTTGTAAATACCAAATCAGTGTGATGTGTTTTTATACTGTGCTGCTCACTCCACAGTTTCTTCTACTAATGTTAGCTTTTTCTTTACCAGGCTTCCAGACTGTGATAGAGGCCAGCTCTTCCTGTACATTGAACAGGACTGTGGGGGCATCTATCCAGCTGCCACTGAAATATCCTTTGGGCCCTAACATCCAAAGGGTAGCGTGGAGTTGGAATCCTGAGAATGAGCGCAGACTGATAGTGATCTGGAACCCTAATAATTCCAATCCTCAGTGGTATGACTTTGAAGATAAATACAAGAACAGATTCAGTGTGACAAAGGAATTCTTTTTGAGCATTAAGGATCTTAGTACAGAAATGAGTACAGTCTATACAGGGGAAATCCAATGGAACTCAGGAATGATCAAGAATGAAGACTTCAAACTCTGTGTATATGGTAAGTATGGCGATGTGCCCAAACAGGCACTGAACGTGACTTGCCACATTCCACATTTCCAATCATTTTGTTAATATTTACCTGTCTACCTTTCCCCATGTCTTTTCAATCTTCCTCTTCTTCTTCTTCTTCCTCTTCTTCCTCCTCCTCTTCTTCTTCCTCTTCCTCTTCCTCCTCTTCCTCTTCTCCTTCCTCTTCCTCTTCTTCTTCCTCTTCCTCTTCCTCTCCTTCTCCTTCTCCTTCTTTTCCTTCTCCTTCTCCTTCTCCTTCTTCTTCTTTCTTCTTCATACTAGGGCTTGAACAACAGCCCCACTACTGGTTTTTGAGTAGTTCATTGCAAATGAGTCACTGGGAGTTTTCTGCCCACACTGGCTTTGACCCCAATTTTCAGATATCAGCTTCTGAGTAGCTAGGATTAGAGGCATAAGCCATCAGTGCCTGGCTAACACACTTTTTTTTTTCCAGTCCTGGGGCTTGAACTCTGGACCTGGGCACTGTCCTTGAGCTTCTCTTTTTGCTCAAGGCTAGCACTCTCACTTGAGCCACACTGGCACTTCCAGTTTTTTTCTGTATATGTGTTACTGAGAAGTTGAACGCAGGATTTCATGCATGTGAGGAAACACTCTACCACTGAGCCACATTCCCAGCCCTAACCCACTTTTTAATTTAATTTAATTTTTTAAATGTTTTTATTGTGCAAATACCGTACAGAGGGGTTACAATTACATAAGCAAGGTAATGAGTACATTTCTTATCAAGCATTGTTGCCTCCTCCTTTGTTTTTCCCCTCCCATCCCTGCCCTCCATCTCTACAACTACATTCCCCTACCCCCCCCCCCAAATTTGTAAAGTTTGTTTTTCCACATAGCATCTTGTACATCTCATTGTTGCAATGGGTCCACCTGTATCCCTATTTAAGCAATTTGTTTTTTCCCTTCCCCTAATGCACTTGTTTGAATTGTCATTTTCTCTCAGTTTTTGAGGCTAATAGTTTTCTTTGATCTAAAGTTCTATGTAATTTACAATGTACACAATTTTCTAATTTTATCCTTCTGTTTACTAAGCTTTTACCAACATTTAATGATAATTATTTTTTCTTTCTCTCAACTAAACAATATTTTTTACCATGGTATTCTATAATATTTTAATTTTTCCCCATGTGGCGATCATTCATTCACATGTGTGTATGTGTGTGACAATTATACAATTATCTAGATCTAGCTATAGGCTTCTTGGATAACTATTGTATGTTTCCTACTCATTCTTGTGTGTGTGTGTGTGTTGGTCCTGGAGCTTGAACTCAGAGCCTGGGTGTTGTCCCAGAGCATTTTTGCTCAAGGCTAATCCTCTACCAGTTTAGTCACAGCTCTACTCTTGTGTTTTCTAAGTAGTTTATTGGAGATAGACCCTCATGGATTTTCCTGCCAAGGCTGCCTTTGAACTGCTATCCCCAGATCTCAGCTTTCTGAATAGTTAGGATTACAGGTGTTAGCCATGAGTCCCTCTCTCTCTGTCGCTCTCTGTCTCTCTCTGTATCTGTCTGTCTCTCTCCCCCCTTCCTTTCCTTCCCCCCTTCCTTTCCTTCCCTCCTTCCCTCCCTCCCACCCTCCCGCCCTTCCTTCCTTCCTTCCTTTCTTTTTCTTTCTTTCTCTTTTTCTTTCTTTCTTTCTTTCTCTCTCTTTTTTATTCTCTGCTGTGAGGACTGGTTAATTAGTGATTTGGGGAGCAGAGGTCTAGATAAGAGTGCTAAACTTACATGGGGTCATCTTCTAGCCTGCTATTATGTTTAAGGAAGATGGGCCATGGGAAGGATTGTTTATTTGGGGGTAGGACATAGAATTGCAGATTTTCTTTTCTCAGTTGTGGGACTTGAAATCCTGGCCTGGGTGCTGTCCCTGAGCTACTGTATTAAAGGCTAGCACTCTACCTCTTGAGCCACAGTTCCACTTCTGTTTTTTTTTTTTTTTGTTTGTTTGTTTGGTTGGTTTTGAGAAGTTAATTGGAGATAAGAGTTTCATGAGGAGTTTTCTGGCTGGCTTTGAACCATGATCTGCAGAACTCAGTCTCCTGAGTAGTTAGGATTACAGGTATAAGCCACCAGCGCCTAGCAGATTTGAAGAATTCTTTTTTTTTTTTTTAGTTCAGTTGTGGGACCTGAACTCTGAGTCTGGGCGCTGTCCCTCAGCTCTTCAGCGCAAGGCTAGCGCTCTACCACTTGAGCCACAGCACCACTTCCGGCTTTTTTCTTTTTGCTTATGTGGTGCTGAGAAATCGAACCCAGGGCCTCATGCATGCAAGGCAAGCACTCTACCACTTAGCCACCTTCCCAGTCCCTTGAAGGATGAATGGATGTGATGGATTATGATAGTAGAATGAACTGAGTATTTTATTTTTATTTTTGGTGCTAGTCCTGAGGCTTGACCTCAGGGTCTAAGAGCTGTCTCTGAGCTTCTTTGCTTAAGGCTAGTGCTCTACCACTTTAGTCATAGCTCTACCCCTGGATTTTTTTGTTTATTGGAGATAGGAATCTTATGGACTTTCCTTCCTGGGTTGACTCTGAGTCACAATCCTCAGATCTCAATGTACTGAGTCACTAGGATTATAGACAAGAGCCACCGGCACCCAGAAAGCTGAGTCTTTAATAGAAATCAATCAAGAAGAAAAAGATTTTTCAAAAAACTTGATGCAACTTTTAAATATTGCTGCAAAATTCTAAAAAGGTATTGAACATAGAGAATGTAGTAACACATTGGGTATGGCCAAGTTGGACTCATTCAATTAATGTGAGCACCAGTATAATGAAATCTATTACTATTTATCTCTTTATTTTTGATACCAAGGACTAAACCCAGGACCTTATACACTTTAAAATATATACTCTGTGACTGAACCACACTCCATTCCCTATAATGCTAATAAAATTAATAGATGAAAGGTAGAAAATCATGTGATCTTCTTAACAGATGCCTAATAAAGGCAACTGGAAAAATTCAATATTTACTATTTACTTTATAATATTTACTTAATTTTTATTTTTTCCTTTGTTTTAAAATATGGTGACAACAGGCGATAAACCTTGTGGGGGGAGAGGGGGGGAAACAAAAGGAAAAAGAAATCACGTAGATTATTAAGAGCAACAACAAAAGAAAACCTCTTGTGTCCATGTCTTAGAATTAATGTTGCTTAGCATCATCTTTTTTTTTTTTTTGGCTTGGACATGGGGCTTGAACTCTGGGCTTGGGTGCTGTCCTTGTGCTTTTCAGCTCAAGGCAATTGCTTTACCACTTGAGCCACAGCACCACTTCCAGCATCATCTTATATGGTGATATGTACCTAGCTATTGAGCTATTCTGCTTATCTGCTAAGATTATCCTATTTGTATTCCTATTTATTACCAATAAGGGAAACCATGGGACCTATGGTTTCTTTGGGTCTGGCTTATTTCACTTAATATGATTTTTTCCACATCCTTCCATTTCTTCACAAATGGGGCAGGAGATCCTTTGTTTCTTGAGTCCTGTTTATGTTGTCATATCTCCTTACATTTTGAATTTAACATCTGCATATCAGGAAGAATATGTGCTGTTTGTCTTTCTGATCTTGGCTTATTTCACTCAACATGATTTGTTCTAGTTCCATCCATTTCCCGTGAATGCCATTTTTTGGTCCTTTCTAATGGCTGTGTAATATCTCATTGTATATTGGTAGCACAGTTTTTGGATCCATTCACCTGTGGTAGTGGGGCATCTGGGTTGTTTCCATATCTTGGCTATTGTGAATAATGCAGCAATGAACTTGGAGCTGCATGTGTCCTTGGATCCTGGTTCCTGTTGCTCAGGGTAGATGCCTAATAGTGGTATGGCTGGGATGTAGGGAAGGTCTATGTTTGGTTTTTTGAGGAACTTCCAGACTGCTTTCCAGAATGGTTGTATTAGTTTACATTCCCATTAGCAGTGTAGTAGGGTTCCTCTTTCTCCACATCCCTGCCAGCATTTGTCACTGTCTGAATTTAGGATATAGGCTTGGGTAAGATTGTATCTCAGGGTTTTTATTTGCATTTCTTTTATGGACAGGGATGATGAACATTTCCTCATGTGTTTCTTTGTCATTTTTATCTCTTCTTCCTAGAAGTCTCTCTTTAGTTCCCTTACCAATTTGATGATTAGTTCGTTAGATATGGGAGGGATTAGTTTCTTGAGTTCCCTGTATATACTGGATATTAGGCCTTTGTCTGATATATTGCTGGTAAATATCTTCTCCTAATTGGTTGGCTGTCTTTCTAGTTTGGTAGCTATGTCTTTAGCTGTGTAGAAACTTTTGATTTTAAGGTAGTCCCATTTGTCATGTCTCTCTCCAATTTGTTATGACCCTGGGACTCTGTCCAGGAAGTCCTTACCTGTGCCTATAAGTTCTAGTGTCTCTCCAACTCTGTCCTGCAGTAGTTTCAGAGATTCATGTTTGATATTAAGGTCTTTAATCCATTTTGAGTTGATGTTAGTGCATGGCAATAGGCTGGGCACCACTTTTAATTTAGTTTTCTGTGTGTGGCTGCCAAGTTTTCCCAGCACCAATAGTTGAAGAGGCTATGTGTTTTCCCCCTCTTTCTTTTTTGTACATCTTTATATTTCTCTTAGAGAGGACTTTCTTTCTTACTGACTTGTGCATCTTAACGTGTCCTTTTTGCCCTTTTAGTGTAAGGGTCAGTGGGAAGGATGTAAGTTCTAGATTCAAATCCACTTTCCCACTGAGGTTATAGAATATCATTAAGCAGGGCAATTTGAAGTCACTAAAGGGACATGATGGGGGACACTGGTGGTGTGTGTGTGGTGGGCAGTCAGGACAGCCTGGGCTAGGTCCAGAAAATGATCCTCACTTTTCTTTTTGTAGTAGACAGAGAGTGTGGTTCTTCAGGAAGAGCCTCAGCCATCTTCCCCAGGGCAGGGGGTCAGATCCCTGGTTGGGGTGGGTGACAGGTTCCTTCACCAGGTTTGTATTTAGAAAAAGACAACCTCTCACATCAATGTGCTTTACAGGGGGGAGTGGCTGATAGGCTCCCATGAGCCTCCATTCCTGAAGATCAGTTTCTTTTTTTGTCCTCTTTTACCCAGAGCCAGTCTTCTACCCCCAAATTCTGGTTCATTCATTAACCAGCACATCAGGCTGGTGCAATGTCAGCCTGGAGTGTTGGATCCCAGGGACCACAGAGAACGTGACAGTGACCTGGCTGAACCAAAGCTTCAGTGGGGAGTTGGGGCAGAGAGGAACTCTAGCAGCAGCTCCCAACTCCAGGAATCTAAGCCTGAGCCTTTCCCGGAGCCAGCTGAATGGCCACCTCATCTGTGTGGTCAGCAATCCTGCAGACCAGAAGAATGTGACCTTAGACCTTAGCATCTGTCCACAAATGGGTAAGTGTGAGCTCCCAGGAAGGGAGCTGGAAATGGGCTGGCACCAATGGGGAGAGTTGTAGACCTGAAGGACACAGGCTGGCTGGCAATGTCCAGGAGGATCATGGTGAGGCTGTTCACTTGGTAAGCCCTGATGATTCCCCTCTGCTCTGAGCAACTGCATCCGCATGACACAAGGCCAGAAATCACTCAATATATGAATATAAATGTAGGATGGCTTGTGGGCACCCTACTTTCCTACATGGAGGAGCTAGGATCAGAATTCACACAAAGGGAAGGGAGGGACAGAGGAGTCAGGACTGGCCATCCTTCAGCACAGTTCCAGCCTTGGTTTCTCCTGACCCCACCCACACTCCTGACATTCATGGCCCATTCATGCTGTTAGATGTGTGGGATTTTTGCTGCATGCCAGCTGTCCCCTTCCTGGCGACAGTTCCTCAAGTATCACTCATTCTCACTTCCCAGGACTTTTCCTCAGGAACAGACTGATGCAATAAGGAGCGGTTTCATGGGGTCAGCTGCTCTGTCCCATCAATGTCCTCCTGAGCTTGGCTTGCTCACATGGGCAGGTCCTCCTCTGAGTAGCCTCATCCTTGTCATTTCTTAACTCACCCATTCAACATTAAGTGCACATTCTTGAGCTGAGTACTTATGATGTGTTGGAGTAAGGGAAAAATCACAATGACAAATAAGAGAAGCACCCATCTTCAAGAAACATACAGTACGACTTCATCATCACACACTGGCCATCTTTTCTTGGAGAAGCTATATAACTTTTGAGCCTTTCTACCTACATGATGGATAATAATCTTACCAATTCTATAGTGTTATTGTGAGAATTAACATAGGCAGTTCAAGTTAATCTGTCAGTCCTAGGCTATGACACGGAACATGGCAATGAGCAGTGGCAATACAAGCATTACAAAAATATTTACAGGCTTACACTTGTAATCCTAGCTACTCAGGAGGCTGAGAACTGAGGATTGCAGTTCAAAGCCAGCCTATGCAAGAAGGTCCATGAGAGTCTTATCTCCAGTTAACCAGCAAAAAGCCAGAAGTAGCACTATGGCTTGAGTGGTAGAGTGGTAGCCTTGACAGACAGGCTCATGGCTAGTGCCTAGGCTTTGAGTTCAAGCCCTCACGCTAGTTCAGGAGCACACAGAGTGAGTACATATCTAAAAGTAAAGCTAGATGTAAAATGCTTCATAGATAAGCCAAGATATAAAGTATGGTTCAAGGAGAGAAGAAAACCAGGAATGGAAGAAAATGAGAAACTTCTATAGGAGTTGGGAAAGGCATTACAGGGAAAGGAACACATGTGTTAGACCTTGAAGGATGAATAGGATTTTCTTGTAGCCGTAAGAAAGACATCCTATTTGGGTACTGGTTGCTCATGCATATAATCCAAGTTATTCAGGAGGTTGAGATCTGAGAATCAGTGTTCAAAAGCAGCCTGGCTAGGAAAGTTCTTAAAGCTCTTATCTCCAATTATCCATCACAAAACCAGAAGTGGCACTGTGGCTCAAAGTGGTAGAACACTAGCCTTCAGGGACGTGCACCCAGGCCCCGAGTTCAAGCCCGGTGATCATCACTACCACCAACAACAAAAGAAATAGAGTCATCCTAGCAAAGAGCATAATATGGGAAACCCCAGATTCTTCCATCCCCTTCCCTCTCTTGCAATGTACTTTGCTTCTGCAAGTCTGCAAGGAGAAAAGAGGGACAGATTGAGGGGTGAACAGTGTCAATCCAGCCTAGACCATTTCCTGAGGTTCTTGTATATAAACTAGACAGAAAGCCTGGCAGCAGAAGCATTAATATGGAAGTGACCAGGTCACAGAGAAAGAGTAGAAGGGAGAAAATTCATGCAGGCTGCAGCATTTACACACTGGGAAACAGGCCTGGAGCTAGAGCTAGGGTAATCCTCCCCAGTCTCTCCATCTTTTCTCGTGCCCCCGACCCCATCCTATGTCTTACCTGACCATGGCAGATCTTGACAGCAAATTGTCTTTAGCCCAAGGTTCCCATTGGAACAAATGGATAGGACTGGTTGCTGTGGTGCTGTTGGTGATTCTGGGGATTGGACTATGGATCTGGAAGAGGAAGAAGACAGAGACTGGAAAAGGCAGGTGCTGGGGACTCTGGGGTCTGGGCTGGCTGGAGGAGGGGCAGTGGGTTGAGGAGATCCCAGGGACAATGGACAGCTTAAAGTCTGGGGTGCTGAGTGTGGGTATATGTCTGACTACCCAAAGAGAAAGGCCACGGATGGCTCACACCTCTAGTCCTAGTTATTCGGGATGCTGAGATCTGAGGATGGAGGTTCATAGGTAGCCTAGGTATGAAAGTGTAAGACACTTTTCTCCAATTAATCACCAAAAAAGCTGAAAGTGTAGTTGTGGTTCAAGTGGTCGAGCAATTGCCCCAATCAAAACTGTACCGAATTAATGTCCAAATCCAAGAATAAAAAGCGCAGTGTGCATGGTGGCAGGAACAGAGTATGGGTTTAAGACCTGTGCTTCTGGTCCCTGGGACCTTCGCTGCCCTTGATGGATCTGATGGGTGTGTGTTGGTCACATCAATGGCACTGAGGGTCTTCTGCATAAAGTGGGTCCATTTCTTTTCCAGCCATGCGAGGCTGCACAGCTGCTCCCCAGGTCCTTCTCACAGAGGATACTGCTGACGATCAAAAGAGTGGGCTTGCCGTACCTGAGCTTTATGCAGAGATCAACCTCTTGGCTGACCGGAAGGTGAAACTGAGGGAATGAAATCAGGGCAACTTACTGACTCAAACTCAGAGGTTGGGAGTCCCAGGAAGTCTGGCATACTCTGTTCCGCAGTCAGCCTCCAGGTCTGCAACTTCCCTTGGACCCTATGTCTGTGTATCTGTGTACCCACAGCACATGGGGATTAGTGTAGTGATTGGAAGGGAGGCTCCACACCCAGGGTCCCATCAGTCTTCATGGCCATCCCTTGGGGAGGAGCCCAAATGAAGCAAGGGCACCAGCTTGGCGGGGCAGCCCAGGGATGAGAGCCTTAGAGGGCATCCTTACCAGGACAGTTAAACCTGGCTCACAGGGAAGTAAGAGTGCAAAGTGATCAGGAGGCTGTTGGGATGCAACTGATGTGCAAGACCCAAAGGAAGCAAAAGCAGGTCCTGGGAGCTGGGCAGGGCAGAAGTGGCTCTAGGGGAGGAAGACAATTCAAGTAAAGCCAACCCTGATAGTATGCCCTATTGAATCTCAGTCTCTAGCCTCAGGGAGCTCTGAGGCTGCTGGGAAAGGCAAGTCCTCCCAGGACACAAAAAGACAAGAACCTCAGGGAGCAGAGCTGGAGGGAAAGCCAGCTCTGAGGCAGACATCCCGTTCAGCTTTACCCCCTTGGAACTCAGTTTCCAAGCATGCACATGTGGGAAAAAAGCATCCTGGAGATGGTGCTTTACAGCATTTTTTCAAAATCTTTTCTCACTGTGGGGATTCAAGATGGTAAAGACATTTGTTAGAGAACCAACCAGGGCATACTATCCTCTTCAAATCACTCTAATTTGGGCCACAGAAGTTAAGAACAATCATCAATAAAAGTCCTTCTCAATTAAGATACCTCTACTAAGGATGTGTTTTAAGAGGAGGAGGATAATGATACAATAAATGATCAAATTCTGATATATTGAGTGGGGGTATGTGCTAAGGATAAAGCAAAACAAGCAGGATGAATAGGAATATGATCAGATATATATTTGCAGATATATTTGCATGTGCGTTTATTTGCACATATATATTTGCAACTGTTGTAAGGTTATCTAGGAAGATGACATTGAGAAGAGAGAGCCTGGAATAGATGAGGATGTTGGGTGGTTGGTGGAGAAGGCAGAGGACAGAGCAAGTGCAGAGACTGGACTTCAGAGAGAGAGATCTGCACTGATGTTTCTTTGAAGGACTTTTTAGGTGGTGTGGGAGTTAACAGGATGGAGAGCCAGAACTTTGTGGTTGAGGAGGAGAGGCACAAAGGACCTAATTTGACTGTCCCTGTCCCTGAGTCTGAGAAGCTAACCAAGACCACTCTTCAAACCCACTTGAATTATAGGAGGACTCAGAGAGGAGCAGGGGCCATGGGCAGGTTCCGCAAGTCCACACTGCGTATGCATGTATCCAGGAACCCAGACCATGAAGAAACTGGAGCAATGAGGGGCATTGGTAAAGTTGGCTTCACCTCACCCTTTACCTCAGAATCTTTGGCTATCCATCCTTAAGGTGGAGCTGAGACCTGACTCCTTCGTCTTTTTTAAATTAACATCTATTATTTCCTACAAGGCGATTCCATTTTGTCATACCAATATATACATACAATACATCTTCTCCATATTCTCCCACCTGCTCTTCCCACCCCTCCAAAACAACCTCAACAAGTTTCATGCCTCCATTTTTACACATGTACATCAAGTATTTTGACTAAATTCACCCTCTTTCATCCTCTGTGTTTGCCTTCTCTGCTCCTACTAGCACCCACACCTCAGACAGGATATGTTTTCCTTCAGTAGTAGTAATTTTTGGTGACGTGCATGCTGATTGTTCAATGGGGCTTCACGATGGTATTTTACAATGCATATATCCTACAAGAATATATATATATGTATATGTATATATATATATATATTCATGTATCTTTATCTTTTAGGCATGGCATCCACATGTAAGAGAAAACTCATCCTTCTGAACATTCATTCAACATGATGTATTCGAGTACCATCCATTTCATTCTTCTTTATGGATGAATAATACTGCATTGTGTATATGTGCCACATTTTCTGGATCCACTCATCTATTAGTTGTAGGGCATTTGGATTTTTTCCACGTCTTGGCTATAGGGAATGGTGTCATGATGAATGAGTGTGCAGGGGCCTTTACTACATTCCCGCCTTAAATTCCTTTGGCTATATGCCCAAGAGTGGTATGACTAGATTATAGGTCAGTTCTGTTTTTAGTTTCTGAGGAAGTTCTATACCAATTTCCATAGCAGCTGCACTAGTTTACATTCTCACCAACAGTGTATGAGTATTCCTTCTTCCTTCACCAGCATTTATGCTTAGTGCTTTTGATAATGGACATCCTGAATAGAGTCAGATGAAATCTCAATGCCATTTTGGTTTGCCTATCTCTATCTATCTATCTATCTATCTATCTATCTATCTATCTATCTATCTATCTATCTATCTATCTAGAGATGTTGAGTATTTCTTATGTATTTATCCTCCATTTGTGCTTTTTAAAGATGTTTATTTCATTGGTTTGTGTATTTATTAATTGATTTGTTGATTCTTGTATGTTCTTGTATGATTCTTGTTGATTCTGTATGTTCTGGTTATTAATACCTTGTCAGAAACAAAGGAGGAAGCAACAATGCTCGATAAGAAATGTATTCATTATCTGGCCCATGTAATTGTAACCCTTCTGTATTTTCACAATAAAACAAATAAACAAAACAAC